TTCTCATTTTGCTTGCTTATAAATTATATATAAATATTGTTTAGATTTATATTTCATTAAAATAACACTAACTAAGTTAATTTTATGAACTAAGCCTCTAAAAGTATAGAATATATGAGACATACATAGAATATTTGTTCTCTGTTGTCAGTCTTTCTGTACTAATAATTTTGTTAAAATTAACATAACTTGAAAATGAATATATTCATGGTAAGTTTCAAATAATTATTTTACTAGATGGTCCTTACAAAATATTTTCATCCCATAATTTATCTAATATATCTACTTATTATTTATCTTCATCTTTCCTGAGCAACAAAGGTACTCTGGAATGTACACTTTCAAACGATTGCTTTCAAAAGTTCATGTCTTGAATGGGAGTTAGGATAGCTACTTTTTGACTTTAAGAGGTTAATAGGTAAGTATATATTTATTTAGAACTATTTAATATGTTAATATAACCACTAATGAAATAGAGAGGCCTAGAATATCCAAATTAAGGCAGTTGTGGTGGAAAAGACAGGAATTAAAAGAAAATTCATTGAGCAAGCAGAAGGAAAGGTAAAAAAGAGGAAACAATAAATTATATACTTGAAATAAGGATGGAAGGACTATAATTACCAATATATTAGTTAATAATTAAATGTAAAAGGATCAAATTTCCCTATAAAAAACAAAGAATTTCATATTGCTTTCGAAAACAAAATCCAGATATATGTTGACTTTAGGAAATATACAAAAATAAAGTGACAGTGTGGGGTGCCTGGGTGGTGCAGTCAGTTGACCATCTGACTCTTGATTTCAGCTCAGGTCATGATCTCAGGGTCGTGAGATTGAGCCCCACATCTGGCTCCACACTGGGCATGGAGCCTGCTTAAGATTCTCCCTCTCCCTCTGCCCCTCCCTTCTTTCTCTCTCTCCCTCACTCTTTCTCTAAATAAATGAATGAATGAAGAAAGAAAGAAAGAAAGAAAGAAAGAAAGAAAGAAAGAAAGAAAAGAAAAGAAAAGAAAGTGACCATGCTATGGGTTGGAATATGTTCCGCCAAAAGATTTATTGAAGTACCTGTGAATGTGACCTTATTTGGAAATAGATCTCTGCTGATGTATTTCACATGAAGTCATTTAGGGTAAGCCCTAATCCAATATGACTGGTGTCCTCTTAAGAAGAGAAGAGACAGGCACAAGGACTCAGACTTGGGAGCGGGGGGAACACCATAGGACAGTGGAGAAAGAGACTGAAGTGGAACGTCTGTAAACCAAGGAATGCTGTGGATTGCCAGCACACCAGAAACTAAGAGAAAGGAATTGAACAGATTTGTCCTCTAGAACTTCCAGAAAGAGAGCACAACTCAGCCGACACTCTGTGTTTCAGACTTCTAGCCTCCAAATACCTGTTGTTTTAAACCATTCAGTTTAAAATAATTTATTATAGCTGCCCTAGGAAACGAATACACAAAAAAGACCAAAAAATAAATGAATGTATGAGGGAAATGTGAACCAAAAGAGAACCTTATCAGTAAAGGATCAAATTATCAGACAAAGCAGAATTCAAAGCTAAAAATAATAAATGGAATACTATATAAATGTAAAAGTTACAGTTCTCCAAGAGGTTACAGAGAGTCAGTGTTGGAAAGGCCACAGACTGAAGAGACTACATTCTGGAACCAGATGCCCTAGAACCTGGCTATAGCAACTGGCTCTGTTATTGAATGGCTCTGTGACTTTAGAGGTATTACTCAACTTTTCTATGCCTAATTTTCCATATCTATAAAATGAGAATAATAATAATAATCCATTTATATGGCAGTTATAAGGAATAAATGAATTTATATATGTAAAATTAATATTGTAAAATGAATTAATATATGTAAATGCATATGTGTATTAATGCATGGTTGAAACAACAGCTGCCATAGAGTAAACACCAAAAAAGTGTTAGCTATTATTCTTTCTCCTATTATTAATATAAAACACTATTTAAAAACCATCTAAGGAACACGGGACATAAAACCAAACCTCAAGAAAAGGAAAACTTTATAAAGTCACTATCGTAGAGGATTTTAAATAATCACTTTCAGAATTTGACATAATTTTGCACAAAAGAGCAAGTCGAGAGAGGACTGTATAATACAATCAACAGGGTAAAACACACATTCTGTTCTATGTGAAAAGCAGAAAATGTATTCTATTTTCCATTTAGAAAATCTGATTATTATGGAAACCAAAGGAACTCTTAAGATCCTCAAAAAAGATTTTTATAATCCTTATTCTCTCTCCATGATCTAAGAAAACTAGAAATCAAAAAATAAAAAGGCCAAAAACAATGTAACCATCTAAATATTAAGATATTTACTTTCAAATAACTTCTGGAAACTATTACTCTTCTCTGCAACAGTGGGGTATATGACAGTCAAGTGGCTGGATCCTACTCAGTTGCACTTACCCAAGAATGGCCACCACTCAGTGGTTCTAAACTAGGGTGGTACTATCTCCTTAGGGAAGATTTAGAAATGTATAATAGTAGATACAGCTGTTACAAAGACTGAGGAATGCTACTGGCATTTAGGGTTTGGAGGTCAAGAATGCTAAAGTTCTACAAAGCTCAGAATACTCTTACACAATGTAGAACTTACATGGTCAAAGTGCCAATAAAGCTCCCATTGATAAACATTGTTTTAACAGTGACCACAGGACAAAGACTCCACAGATGCTTAAGATATTTCTAGTTGAAATGAAATTACTATCACCATGGTAAAAAAGTCTTCTATAAAACTAGCAGGCAATTCAATGTTCATTTTTTTCACAGCAAGAACCGAATTCAAGAGATTTCTTTGCTTTTGATGGTAATCTGAGAGCATACAAGACTGTTTAGAGATTGCTGCAGAAACTAATTTCCTTTTATTACTAAAACTCAAAATGGGAATTCATATTTATCCACAGAATGGATAGATAAATGGATAAATAAGTACATAGGGAACTGTAAATCAATTTGTTATTTAGCTTTTGTTAGCTAAGTCAAAGTCCAAGGAAACCAGGAGTTTTCCTTGAGTTATTTCCTTGAGTTATTTACCAGGAGCATCAGTGCTTCTGGTAACTATGTTTTTGTACATTCTCATGTAAAAACAAAATATTTCAACAGTGTCCTTTCTTAATATTTCTGATGGTACTAAGGTAAAAGGCAATGTCCTATAGCAGACAGCATGTAGACACGAGTTCTAGCCTTGGCTATGTGACCTTCTCTGTGTTTACTCATCAATTTAAAATTGGGATAATAGGGGTGCCTGGGTGGCTCAGTTGGTTAAGCTTCTCCCTTTGGCTCAGGGCATGATCTCTGGGTCCTGGAATCAAGCCCCACATCAGGCTTCCTGCTCAGCAGGGAGTCTGCTTCTCTCCCTCCACCCCCCTGCCCATCCCCACGGCTCGTTCTCTCTCTCTCTCTAATAAATAAATAAAATCTTTAAAAAAAATAAAATTGAGATAATGGTATTTGCCTTACTTGTCTTAAAAGGTTGGGATGCAGAGTAACTACAAAGTCTCTGCAATGGCCTGCCAATCTATTCTGGAACTTGACCTTTCTCTACCTCTCTCACCTTATTTCCAGCTACATTTTCCCTCCCTTACTCTGCTGCAGCCACACTGGTTTCCCTGCTGTTCCCTGACTATTAACCTAAGGTCTCAGCACTGACCATTCTTCTGCCAGAACGCTCTGTGCCCGAGAGCTTCAGGCTCACTGTCTCACTTCCTTGCTTCCATCAAGTCTCCGTTCTAATGCCATTTTCATCAGAGAGAGGTAGCCATATACCACCCTATGAAACTTTCTCTTTCCCTTTAGCATTGTTATTGTTTTAAGAAAGTATAATTTCTGGGGCGCCTGGGTGACTCAGTCAGTTAGGCATCTGACTCTTGATTTCAGCTTGGATCATGATCTCAGAGTCATGAGATTGAGCCCTGCATCAGGCTCCGTGCTCAGAGGGGGATCTACTTCTCTTTCCCTCTCCCTTTATTTATTCTTTGACATAGCGATGATCTACAGTGTTACATCTCAGATTCTAATTTGTTTGCTTATTGTCTGTGTCTTCTCTGCTACATTCCTCTTCTCAAGGAATGCAAGAAAGTTTTCTATCTTTTCCTTATGAATACTATTCTAATAACAAATTGGTTTTTCTGAATCCGTCTGTAGAAAACTTTAGCAGTGTGTTTTGTCAGAAAGTTTGTATCTTTACTTTGCACTAATTAACGTGAAATTGTGTTAATACTATTTTATTTTTATGACATAAAATATACTTTCAGACACATAACCATAATGATATAGCATAGTACGGGAAGTTACATTTTTAACATCTCTATTATGTCATTTGCCTATCTTAATTGTCCTAGCGCTCAAATATTCAAAGCATGCACTAATTTGGAATACTATTTCCCTGAAAAGATACTATATGCACACTCTTTTGAAGTGAATTTCTTTTTCTTCCCTAAAAGCAACATGTTCTATTTCACAACTGTAATATGTAACAAACCAGGTGGGCCTAAAACATGTTCCTTGCTCTGATAAAAGTTTTCAAACTGGTTCTGGGGTTTTGTTAGTCATGCTTGTGTCTGTCTCCCTACTGCAATGTGGTATGATGCAAAGCTGAGTCCCTTTCTTAACCATTTCATATTTCTCTCATACTATGTACCGAACAGACACTCCATAATTATTAATTTATTGACTATAGGCATTAGTGCAATGATAAGCAGTCTCTGCCTTCTTTTTTTTCCCAAAGATTTATTTACTTATTTATCTGACAGAGAGAGACACAGCGAGAGAGGGAACGCAAGCAGGGGGAGTGGGAGAGGGAGAAGCAGGCTTCCCGCTGAGCAGGGAGCCCCATGCGGGGTTCGATTCCAGGACCCCGGGATCATGACCTGAGCGGAAGGCAGACGCTCAAAGACTGAGCCACCCAGGCGCCCCTAGCTCCTCCCTTCTTAAGCAGAAATAAAATGAGGAAGATTACTTACACTTAGAGCCTGATGAAGACGACCCACTGCCGGTAGATCTCGACCCCCCTTTCATGGAAAAGACTCCTTTTCCCCTGCGCGTCGTAGTGACGGCCACTCGGGGACGCTTCAGCGGAATCACCGTGCGCGGAGGTGGAGGCACACGCCCGTGGTAGTCGAATAACCTTCAAAAACACAAGCGTGGCTGAGAGCTGGTTTATGCCTCCGTGTTCTGTCAAATGTGTGAAATGATTAAGAAAATGGCCTTGTAAAAGATGTCGATAAATGTTTTTGTTCTTGTTCTCACACAGGTGTTTATCAGAAACAGGATTCTAATATAGACTATGCGTTCTGGACATTAGAATCTGACTCTCCAATATGAACTCGTCTTTAAGGCGTGAAAGGACAGGGAACTCTGCGCCCAGGGTACCCTGCCATTTGTTGAAGTCGGGCTGAGCTTTGTTCCCAAGTATATTTCTCTCCTCAGTCTCACAGATTTATCCTTCTTAGGATAGAAATCTTCCTCTTATACATCAACACTTATTAGCACACTAGTTTGAAAACAGGAAAAGATCATGCAGAATCAGGAACAAGGCAAGCAAATTATTCCATCGTGAAACAGTTCATAAGGAAAATCATCTTGAAGTAAGTCTAGATTAAAGAGAATAGCTGTGAGAGACAAATCCACAGGGTGCCATACCTGTCTCTAAGGACTTTTTAAGTAACAAAAGACTCCTCTGACTGTAGAAAAAGGGAGACTGGGTTTGAGTAAAAGGGCACCAGCAAGAGAATAAAATTTTATTAACTAGAGTACCAGTGGAAATATGTATCAGGATGTCTTTTTAGTATTCTGACCATTTGCTAGACATGTAAATTGAACTAGTGATATTTACATACTAAGCTATTGAAAATTTCTCTGACCAAAAAAAAGTACCAATAAAAATTCTAGAAGCTTTTACTAAAAAGTGAAAAATGATAATCCCCACAACCAATGTATTCCCCCTAAAAAGTGAAAGGAATAAAAGTATGAGAATTTATATAAATGAGTATACACTTTTATATAAATATGTAAGTCATAGATTCAGAAGCTTCATATTGTCCATACTGCATATTCATAAACAACACATTTTTGCAGACTTAGCACATTTGAGAAGCATGAAAAGTCAGAGAAAAACTATGAGGACATATTTACTCACTTATTTTTTTAAAAAACTATTTACCAGTGAACCAGATGTGTTATCATGTTATCCACTATAAAGAGAATAGTGTTATTGACTTAGAATGATCACTGATACTACTTTATTGTGACATCATTATATGGATTACATTCTCATAATTGTTTTAAAACAGTCAATAAGAATAATCTAATATGAAAGTCAGAAGTGAATTTCTATAATAGGAAAAAAAACAGTTTCTATAATAGGTCATTTTATAAAATTACATCAAATTATTTACACATACAGATGAATCCCCTTTTAGAAAACAATATATGAAATATGATAAAGGCAGGTTTCCACATATCCATTCAGAAACATTCAAAACTATGATACTATGGGGGTAAAAAAGTAGCATATAAACCACGCTTAAAGCAGAACTTAGTACTGGGGCTGTCTCATACATTAGAGAACTAAAGTGTTCAAAAACTATTTGGAAGCATGCTGGGGAGAAACTAAGAGATGTCTGGAAAGGAAAAGAAATGAAATGAGGCAGAGTTCAAGAGAGGTGCCATCCTCTGTGAATAAGCAAAGTCCATTAGAGCTGAAGAACTGCTAGCAAAGAACAGGGCATGGATGTCAACACATTATAGTTTACTTCAAAGAGTACAGGCAGGATGAAGCTGAAAAGGGTTATGAATATCATCCACACCACTATGGGCTTGAAACTCAAAAGGGTCAACTAAACCTGCCCCTCATTTCAATCACAAAATAAGGACTCCTTTACTTATTTATAAGTTGAATTCACACAGCACCTTAAGCTAGTGAACCAAAATACGAAGGCACTTTTTATGAGCTCTAACACCCAAAGCTATCAAGGGGAAAAAAAATATGGCAATTGACTCATCTCTTCCAGGGTAGATGCTGCCGCTTCAGATGAAAGGCAAGTTCTTTTGGAAGCACCATTGAAAGTGCAATTTAGCTGGTTCATTAATTAAGCTAATCTATAAGTTGGGTTGAGAACATTTCTAAAGCACAACTAAAATATACAGTGACAGAGGAATGCTATAAGGAAAATGCAGGCCAAGTAAAGCCACCATACCCACTGCGACTTCAGTGACAATGTAGTTCAAGAATATTTTACAGGAAAATGAAATATTTCTCACTATTTCTTATTGCTTCCCCCAGCCAATGATTACAAAGCCTCCAGTGTTGGGTAGGCCTCAGCTTATGTTGAGAAAACAGAGCTGGATATCATTGTATTTGTGACATGCTTTTGATACGCAACATACATTTTAGTCACATACTCAGTATGTGTCGTGCGTGTCCTTTGCTGTCAATTCCTATAGAGCATAGCCCTTGTTCTCTGAATATTTTGGTGAGTTGCATCAAAGGGCAATGACTTCTTTCTCATCAAGGAATCAGGTAAGGTTTTACCAATTCTTTCTGCCACTCTGATGGGAAGATGTGCAATATCAGAACTTATATTTTAAAAAGGGATATGTCATTTATAAAAAAAAAACTAAAGAAGGGTATGGACACTTCACACGACAGCATAATTTTGAATTTTACAAAATTCAATGGAGTTGAGGAGTTTCTTAATTTTCATTGGCTACACTTGAGTTTACCAGAAATAAAAGGAAGGAAGACTAGGTATTGTCCTAACGCACAAAAACATAACAAGGTAAGAATGGGAAGTGGGGCAGATTTTCTGGGTTTCAAGATAGGATGTAGGGTTCTTCTAAATACAAAGGGAAGTAGATGAGAGGTAACCCATGAAGGGAGACACAACCATTGGCTTTCTCATCAGAATTCTGTTTATAGAAAATTTAAGAAATTTTACCTTTATAAGGTATTAGATAAGCAAAATTGTTGGGACAAAGGAAATCGTCCATTTAGGATTATAGACTGACAACAAAGATTGCAATACAATAGAATTAAATGGAATCCAAATCTCAAAGTTCAGTTAAAAGCTTAAAATTTCTTCCTTCTTCTCATTTTTTTTTTGGTTTCTTCCACTCTTAGAATGATATTCCCTCTCCTTTTCTTTAGTGGTTCTTCATTTTCCCTAATATGTGTAGAATACTGTTTTCCCTCTAATATTTATTGGTCAAATACATAATGATTTATAATGAAGCCAAACACACAATTTTTCCTTCCTCAATGTCTGTTTAAAATAAGAACCCTAAAAGCCTACTCTCAAGCAAGAAACAAGATAAATGTAACCAAATTTTACTAAAAAAAAAACCCATTAAAGAAATCTGAGGATTTAGTTTGCTTTATTTAATAAACGTTTCTACTTTTCGAGCGCTCATTTCTTGTTTGGAATTCTGTTTGCTTTAATAATAGCTGAGCTATGTAATTTTATTACCTAGCAAAAGGCAAAATCTGGTAAATAATATTTATATGCCTGATAAAAATAAACAGCTTGTCTCTAAGAAGAATATGGATATTGGCTATTAAAAATTAGCTGTGTTTTGGACAAAGGCAATTTGGTGGCATATTGACATATAAAATGAATATAACTTTGAGTGCTTGTTTTTATTGAAATCTTGTTAGCTTTAAGCTTAATAAGGCAACATTTTTGAAAAAATATATGAAAAAACATAACTCCCAATCTCATACTCTAAAACAACTCCTATATGGGGTACATGGGTGGCTCAATCAGTTAAGTGTCCCTGACTCTTGATTTTGGCTCAGTGTTGTGAGATCAAGCCCCGTGTCAAGCTCCACACTAGTTGTGGAGCTTGCCTAAGATTCTTTCTCTCCCTCTCCCTCTCAATAAATAAATAAATAAAATAAAAATAAAAAACTATTATCATTTTCTAATCTTTTTTCCGCAAGTATCCATATATTCCACATAGTTAAGAACATAATATATGCATAGTCATGTATTCTCTCTAATTCTCCTTGGTTTATATTAAAAACATCTCTCAAGCCTGCTAAATGGTCTTCCTAATATTTATTTTAATTGCTGTGGTGCATTTTCTCAAGCAGATATACTATATTCTAATAATCATTACCTGATTGACTTTGGCTTAATGCCTATTTTTCACTGTCAACTTAAGTGATTATAAAATTAAAAAAAATTAATGTATTATTTGAATAATATTCTGTTATCAAACACTGAATTTTAATTTTAGATAAATTGTTTAGATAAATAGATTTCAAGAATTGGTAATTACCTTTTTTTTCTAAATTTCCCTCATGAAAAAGAGTTCTTCATTTTCCTTGCTTATGAATCAAAGGTTATAGTCACCATGTGCTTAATGTTAACAAAAACATGTGGTCTGGACCAGCGGCTAAACAACTAGGCTGCCTACAGCCAACCTTGAGAACAAGTTCAGAGCCATGTCCTCACTGGGACTCTGTAGCATATGTGAAGATCAGGAACCAGAGGATCAGAGATCTCCCTTTGTGTCTTGATTCAAACTTGAACCCTTATCTTCAGCATGCTTAACTTCTGACAGATATATAGTCTATAAAATCAAATTAAGGTGCCTATTCATTTTTAAGAAGGGATGTATTTAAAATCCACATCAATGATTCTTTTAATGTATTTTTAAAAGATTTTATTTATTTATTTAACAGAGAGAGAGACAGTGAGAGAGGGAACACAGGCAGGGGGGAGTGGGAGAGGGAGAAGCAGGCTTCCCGCTGAGCAGGAGTCTGATGTGGGTCTTGATCCCAGGACCCTGGGATCATGACCTGAGCCAAAGGCAGATGCTTAATGACTGAACCACCCAGGAGCCCCCTACATGAATGATTCTTACAGCCTACTCATTATATCTGTTTTCTATACTGCTTGAATTACTCAAAATTCATAAAATCTGTCTGTAATTTCCACTCTGACTTCAAGTAAGCTTTTGGTTTCAACTGAATTAGAAAATTTCAAAGGCACACTTAATTGGAGACCAGTAAATGAGTAATTTTTATTGTTTTTTGTTATTAAAATTTTCTAAGATTTTCAGTGAAGTTGTCTTCTTGGATCTTGTGCAAATATTTCTTGAACATGCTTTTAAAGGCAAGCT